GAACAGCGCTGGTCCCAAAACAGACCCCTGCGGTACCCCACTTGTTATGCCTTTCCAGCAGGATTGGGAACCATTAACAACAGCTCTCTGAGTACGGTTATCCAGCCAGTTATGCACCCACAATGGTAAAATGAAAAAAAGAGGAAAACAATTGGGGGAAAAACCTAAAAATTGTGGGATTTACAATTTTTATATCAAAATTGGAAAAAGTACTTTGAAAAACTATCCTGAAAAGGAAATTTTCCCAGTGAAACAGCCTTACGACTTTTTGATCAGCTCAGGTGTTGGGACACTATGCTGCTGGAGATAGTGTCTTTGGGATGAGAAGTAAAATCAAGATCCCAACCACTTGTGGTTATTAAATATTTTTCCACACAAAAGTTAAGGTTGTTAGTCCCTGGGACTTAGCCAAATTCCAATGAGTCATTCCATTCTGCCTGCCTAAGGTCATTGTTAGATACAGTGTCCTGTACCTCCTGTCCTAAAATTCTGTATAGTATTCTGCATACTGCTGAGTAATTGCTCTGTTTTCACAGTAAATGGTGGATGAAATGATCTTTTATATATGTTTGTACATGTCTTGGGAGTCCTTTGGAATCACTTTAATAAATCTGTAAGCTACCAGAGTGTAATATACAAAAACAGAGGCAGACACAGATGAAAAAGTGCTGTATTGTATACATTTATTATTTATATGCAAATCTCTGTGCTTTCTGGTTCTATATATTTGCCTTTTTTTTTTTAACCAATGAAAATTTATAGTCTATGAATCTCACAGTTCCCCTCAATGAACTTTGTGAGCACTCGACCAATTTCAGCAGCTCACAGAGAAATGTATTTAAACTCTTCTGTAAACATAGTTTGAGAGAGCAGCTTTCAGGTTTGAAAATAAGTAGCTGCCAAGTGGCTAAGGGTCAAATTATTTACTTGGATGCATTCATATTGCTCCTGTTCCAGTCCGTAGATGCTTTCACGTGTCCCAAAAAGTAGCATGTTTCCCATGCGCCCACCTCCCAATCCCCTCTGCATTACAAATACCAAATTACAAAGTTAGAAGACTCTCTCCCCCTCCACTTTTGCAGCCCCCTCATGCCAACTGCTCGTGCCCCCCAAGGGCTATGATGGGAGCCAGGAATCACCAACTTTGGTCTGGGCTTCATGCCCCCTGTGCCAGAGAGCAGGGAGGAGGTCTGATGTAGGGACTGCTGCAGCAGCTCTAAGCTACCCATGAATTCCTCTGCACAGAGGGAATCTTCAAATGGCTGGTTAAGCCAGAATTAGGGTTGCATTGCATCACAGGAGTCCAGCAATACTGCCATAAGAGACTGATGGGTGGGTCTCTCTTATGTATATAATTTTAACTTTTAATTACTTTTTTTGTAGGAATAAAACATTACATAGAATTAAAGCAGGTAAAAAAATAATTAATCACCTCAAAAATATAACATTCCAATAATACATGCAGAACAGTCAAGCCACTCAAAACTTGATGTACAATTCTCATATAGAGATAATTGGTTTAAAGTTTTATGGTGTTTATTAATAACACATGTTGAAAACTTATATTTATAGAACGATGTGTTGCTATCTTCATATATATATATATATTTTTTTCTCTAGTATAAGGGACAATAATTGACTATATCCTGGATCAGCGTGAACTCACTCTGCTCTCAACATAAGAAGAAACTTGCATGGAATCGAGAACATTCTAAGTATTGTATTTCCATTTCATCTTTCAGATTTCTAACTTATTCGTACCTCCTGGCCTTCAATTCCTGGCTTCTGCTAGCACCAATTACTCTGTGCTATGACTGGCAGGTTGGGAGTATTCCTTTAATTGAGTCGATATGGGATGTGAGGAATTTAGCTACAGTTCTCCTGGTGGTGGTTATGATATTACTCAGCTTACATTGCATAACAGCATTCAAGGTAATTTTAAAAAAGTACACTAAAATCTTATCGTTTATATGCTATTTTTGTTACCTAATCTTTGAGGAAGTGATCAATAAAAACAATTGAGGTGTTTTTTTCCCCCCAAACAGAATAGACAGTAAGAGGAAAAATTCTTCCCTATAACTCTCACAGGCAAATCCAAAAGGTTAAATGCTGCCATCGGATGTATGCGTGCTGCTCCCATTCATTTGGTCTGAGACCAGAAGTTAGCCAAAAGTGCTGTATTGAATTACTATTAATGACCCAAAGCCCATTGAAGTCAATTGAAAAGCTCTCCTTGATTTCCATGAGCTTTGGATCATGATCCAAGGGCCCAATTCAATCGCCATTAGTCAATGGGATCTTTGCCATTGGCTTCAAGTGTCGGTCACTAGCTTTTGAGGGTTAAGTTGATGTTTTTATCTATTCCTCTAAACCAACTAAAACATACAGATGAGACACAATAAGAGGGACAAATTTGAGTGTAGTAAGTTGAAAATGATCTGGGAAATGACATGTTTAAATACAAGTTGGTTCAATAAAAGATGTTATCTCACCTCTGTCTCTCTAATATCCTGGGACAACATGACCACAACCATATTGTGGACAATGTCAGGGCCGGCTCTAGCTTTTTTGCTGCCCCAAGCAGCAAAAAAAAGCGCCGCCCCCCCAACCCCCCGCCGAGCGCCGCCAGGAACCCCCCCCAGAGCGCCGCCCCCCCGCCGAGCGCCAC